GAGAAAACGGAATCTGAAATGACATTTGAACATGATGATAAAACAGAATCGTAAACTGAATTAATGAATTTATTTCTATTCCTCGTTTATTCATCGTTTTCCTTTCGTTATGAACATTTGTTTTCAATGTCATATTGTTCTTATAAATATTTATATATCGCCCTTGAGTAACTTATTGTATTAGCAACTAAATAAACATTGGATATGCAATATTTAATTTACACAGGAAAATGATTTATTTATCACTTTATAATATATCAGTGTTGAGAAATAAAGTACGCTGATTTGATTTTACATTCATATATATCTTTTATTCATCTGTTTTCTTATATTGGATTTCACAATACATCTATATGAGGATCTGTGGTTTGTAATTCATCCAACAAGCTGAATTCTCAACAGAGATAAAATATACATGAAAAAATAGGTACCATGTACATTTGTAGTCGTACATGTATATTTCGTGCATATCTATGTACAGATACACAAATGGTACGCGTTTGTACAACAGGAAAATTCATATATTATGCAGACTTCTTAAATATACATATATTACATATATTATGGTTTTTTTTAAGTATACGGACAATAAAATAGTTGCATATGGTTGCCATGTATTATTTTGTTCGTTTATCTACAGCTACTAGCTCTGTTTGTGCATTTTGTTTTGTACATGAGTTTTGTCTCCCTCTCATTCGGCACACTACAATTATTTTAACTTCAAGAAGGTAACTTCGAAAAGGTAACTGAAAAACATCTCACTTGGCATCTATTAATTCGGTATAAGTCATTAAATAATTCTAAATAACATGCGGTGGTTCTCTCGTCATTTAAAACAATTTTCACAAAGTGTTAATATATTATAATATTATCAAAATAATTGCATTTGTTTCAAGTTCTGTGTGTGTATATGTATATGTTTTCGTATTAAAGTATCATATGAAATATAAAAATAGTTTCTATAGCGTATAGATAATTCATAACGTTTCCATGAAAATTTTGCAAAAGTTTGAAAATTGTAGAACTAATAAAGTTATAAAAACTTAAAAAAAAAAAAAAACAATTCTAATGTAAATCAATATATTAAATCTGAGTGCTATCGTATATGTAAAACATATACAATAGAAAAACAATAATGCTAACACAACAAAAATCTAATAAATCTTGCTTAATAAGACATTAAATGCTTATAAGCATTGAGTCGCTTTTCATAAAATAAAAAAAAAATAAATAAAAAAAAAACAAAATTAATATAATATGCATGTCCTCATTAGCTGCCATCAGATCCATTTGAAGAACAGTCTTCGAGTTCCGGCGCGTTTGGACCTCTCTCCAATATACGGAGAAGTTCCGTTACGTGTCTTATTGTAAAATCTGGTTTAGGATCGTCCACCGAAAGACGAGGTTTATCCGTAGTAGGTATCCATACTGTTCCGTACAGTCCAGCCTCGATTCCACCTATACGATAATTTTTCATCTTATTTATACAATCTAATATCTTTTGAAAGAAATATGTTTCCAGACGTTTCTGGAAGATTATAAAATAGTTAGAAGAAAATCTACCTAAAATATCAGTCTCCAACTTGTCACCGACCATGATGCACTCCTCGGGTCTTACTTTAAGAAAATGGCACGCCTTTTGAAATATTTCTGCTTCTGGTTTCTCCCACGGCAGATCACCGGATACTAGGATAATATCAAAGTATTGCTCCAAAGACAGCTTTTGTATCTTCTCCCACTGAGCGTTCGACGGTCCATTCGTGATGAGACCCAATAGATATTTCTTCCTGAATTGACGCAGCATAGAAACTGTGCTTGGCGCCAGCATCATATAGTGATATCTTAAATAGAGCCATCTTTCGTAAACTTTTTTTGCTAGATGCGAATACTTGTAGCTCAGCGCTTTGTTCCAGAGGATGGTACGCCAAGCATCCAATGTGAGAGTCGCGTTGTCGGGACACTTTCTAAATTGCTTCAGATACGTAGCCGTTATCTTGGCGGACGCATCTTCCGGGATCCCATATTCCCGATTCAATTCCTCAGTCAACTGCAGGTAAACGTACAATGTTAGCTCTCTTTTATTATAATCATATGTTTTGTGATAAAGAATGATGAGTGAAGAACTAAAAATAAAAAGGAAAAGATGAGGATAAAAGCAATTTCCACACTCAATAAAAATGTGCACAAATGATCATCTTGCTTGTATTGCAGAATTTTTCCTCGTTAGAGAAAAAGAAATTAGAATTGTTAGCAAAGTGATTTCTTGATAGACAAGACATAAAGTAGAAGAGACAAATATTGAATGTGGAGTTCGTTAATTAACGAAGGTCTCAGGATGACAGGATACAGCGGTCAGTTAAGGATTTTTAGGACACTTAATTCATTATTAATGATTACCTAGAAAATGCATTGATTCATTGAAATACTCGAGCCGATTAGTGGACACTCGAAGTGGCATCCGCGGACGTTGCTGTAATCACAACAAAATGAGTTGTGCCAACAACAACAACAACATCATATGTTATTTTCCAAAGCCTATAAGTTGTAGCTAAAAGATTTCTGGATATTAAAACATGAAACTTGTCTTTGAAAAAGATTACAATGCATACATAGTTTGCAGTTCATTGTTTCAAAATTATTTTCGCTATCCAGTAATCTTTCTTTTAATACCTTTGTTAAAAATAACTTTATTAAGAACGTTAGGCACATAAAGTGAAAGTGGATGATGGTGATGAAATGAAGCGAACGCTTACAAAATTCTTCTATTTAATAGGAAACTATTTCTCTCATTACAAAATCTTTTCTCAAATTAAAACATCTTAGGATTATAGTAACATCAATACTATTACAATCTTCGCTTTCGCAATGTGGCAAAGTAAAAAGAAGTACATCTGATAATAACACACACATACAAACGAAATGTATATATTAAAGTCTCATGTATCTCTGTATACATGATTTACTTAAGAGTTCCTTCGAGCGATAAGTTTCTTAGTTTTCTTGCTTGCCAGGAAACTATTTCCAGACGTGATGCTGTCTAAATATACACTGGACTACGCGCATATACGTATTTCAAATATCGTATGCAGGAGAGACGCGTAAAATAATAAATTTAAGTCGCAAAATACTACAGACTATTTTACAAAGATCTTAAGTCTTTATAGTTCAAAAGTTCGATTAATTGTTCGCCTCGCTTAATTAATTCTTCACTACTTCCGCTATAATTCCGCATAATTTTTTTACATCGCTCGCGCAATATAAAATCGAAAAACTATACAATAATGTTCTCATTGCTCAATCCTAATCTCCAAAGAGGCGTTTTCCAAGCTCCATCATGCGATGATTTCGACAGACAGTTAACGCGCCGCATTTTTTCAACACTGATGCGACGTTATCGTCAGCCTTCACCAAATGACACAGCAGATCCTCGAAGGCTGACTTGACGTTCGGTTCCAGACCGCCAATCTTCACTCGTTTCAGCGTCTCGATGATCTCCTCCGCCCAGCCGGATTCTATCGTAAATTGCGACAACCAGGGTATCACTTGCAGCACGCCAGACATCGTCTGCATCCCCAGGAACCAGAGCTCCATCAGTTCCATCCAGTGTTCCTTGTAAGACATGGAAACTACCAGTTCAGTAGGATCGTTGCTTTCATCGATAATGTACGCATCCCACAGGAATCTTATGGTGGCCTGAATGTAACGGCATATCGAGAAGTCGGTTTTCTTGATACGTTTTGCCTGTTGCTTCATTAATAACAAGCCTAAGACCGCCAGATGACCGTGCAGCACCAGATTCTCCGGGATCTGCTTTAGCTCCGGCAGATTGTTGTAGATGAACTTCAGCAGCGAAATGAATGTCGGCGATTCCTCCACCAATTTTGCCTCCAGCACGGTGATGTTCATCAAGACGTTGCAGATGGACACCATCGCGGTTCTAGAATCCTTCATTTCCTCCAGAATATGCAGATCCAGCTCCTCCGTGCGATTGCCATCTTGCAGAAGTTTCAGACGCTCCGATCTCGGCACCGGCGGCTTCTTGTAGTGTACGATGGTCCAATGATAGGAGAGGCACTCGAACAAGATTTCGTCTTGCTTATGCTGAAGAAGAATCTTTCTGGCGGGCTCTTCCACGGCCAGATAGCATAGAGCAGGCAATAATAGTCTCAATATGTCGATCTCGCTTATTGGATCGTGAACGGTTGGTTCTCCAGACGACGTTCCTTCATCCGCTTTAGCTTTACATTTGACTTTCTCGGCTAATTTCCTGTTTCGATGCGCGTAAAAGGTATCGTTAGCTACCGTTAGCACGTATGGTAACACGGCGTAAACTTGCGGACGCATCGCGCTCGTTTCTTGCGCCATCCAAGCTGTGAGTACCCTGACAACGGCGCATACGAATAGCTTCTCTTTCACATTCGTCAACGTTTTCATCTTTGATACGGAACTCAGTAGACCGATAACAGCCGCGAAGGCGCCCTTCAAGGCCGTGTATAAAGACTGCTTTTCTTTCTGCTCCAAATCCAGCTGATCTGTAACGATGTAGCTGATTGAGATCTCGAGAATAATAAAGCAAGCCGTGATCAAATCGCTATTCTCAAGCACAGCTTTAAGCTGTTTGTCCTCTAACTGCATTCGGACCTCAATCGACGCCAATTGAATGAGCAGAAGGAAGAATATCTTTGGTTTTTCCTTGTCGGACATGGCCCAATCCGCTCCCAACAAATCTATCATTACAGACGCGAGTTTCAAAGCTGGATCCCGTTGCTTTTTGCCTATTTTCGATCCCAGAATATCGCTCAGACCTTTATGAATGCTCAACGGCCAAGATTCTTGATTTGCGTTCGATATCACTTCCTTTCTGCAGGATTGCAATAAAGCCTGTAGAATGGCGCATAGCTCGAATTTTCTCTCCGTATGATCAGTTTCAAAGTCTAAAGCTATCTTATTCGTTATAGCGTGGAAGGGCTGAGTATCTGTTGGATTCCAAGCTTCCGGTCCAAACGTACTGACCAACGTGACTAGAATATTTAAAGCCTCGTCCGTCTGAAAGGTCTTCTCCGCGTATATGTCGCACATCTTTGGAATCGCTTTTTGTTCGAGCAACGCTTTCTGCCCAGGAGGATACTGTGCGATACACTGCAAGCAAGTGTAAGCCTCACTGACGATGATTAGCATGTCGTCTGGCGCATCCTCGTCAGCCTGAGACACTATCCCCAGGAGCGCCGGGATATGTCCCACCATATCGGGATGAGAGGCCAATTCGGGATCTGTGCAGAACGCGGAAAGAATGGACAACGCCACTGATTGGTAGACTTGCGGTGGACAGTCCACAGGGACGCTTGTGCTGGACAACAGCTTCTTGAGAAACTTAGCTCCGATGGCTTCGAAGAGCATTCTCTTGGCAGCAGAGTTGCAATCCTTGCCTTTCACCAGCTTGGTGACCATGAACAGCGCGGCGAACTTTTCCGAGTCGGTGTCCACCGCCCTTAGCACAGCCACGCACTTCGTGACACCCTCCGGGATACTCATGACGTTCGACTGTTTAGAAAGAAGTAAAAAGGAAGAAAAGAACGTGAATTGTCTCTGATGAAGTCAAAGACCGGCGGTACACGTTTGATACTACTGCGGTATCTCGATGTCGTCGATGTGTGTCCACGTCGAAGGAAAGCAATTTCCGAAACCGTGCGGTTCTAAGAGGCGTCGGACCGGCTGTCGCGCTGTCCGTCGCGTATCATAGTTCAGAGCCAACTGGCAGAGTTCCCAGAACGGTCCTCTCGCTGCCTAGCCTTGCCCTTTGACACACTCACCGAGGTAGCCGAAAATAACTAGTGGAGGATGCGGAACACGTGCGCGTGCCTGCCGCTGGCAGCTGCTCCGTCATTAAAACTATCTCTTTGAAGTGTATCCGGGAATTCCGTCCCGAGGCGTGTCGGTAACCTTAAAACTATCTCGGTTAATAATGTCGGAACAATGCATTAAATACAGTGATCGATCAATCAGTTAGAATGTTTCCTGAATCATCTCCATACGCAACAACAACAAAACATATTGTCACACGACGCAAGTTTCCCGTTAGGAACATTTCTTGGTTAGAAATATTTTTCTCGATCTCGACCAGGCATATATCTCGACTGGTCGATTTCGCGACCAACTTCGTGGACTTCGCACCGCTTTGCACAATGCATGATACGAGGAAAGTCCCATCGGCCGTCCACGTTTAGCTGCACTCTTCTGCACTTTTCCGCGCCCAGCGAGGCGGAGGGATCACAACGCTTCGCTAGGGAGAGACGTGGAAAGGCGAGGAAAGCACGACTAAAACGAGGAGATTTAAAATCTCTTCGCGAGAATCTGCGCGAAAATCCGCGCGAGGGTGCGAAATACGGCGCCGAGAATAGCCTGGAACGGCCATCGCGTCGCAAAGAAAGCGCTCTATATCGGGGAATCGGCTCGTATTACATACGGGACGGGGAGAAGGGAGAGCGACTTCTATTCTTGCGACGCGAGTGGCAAAGCGTCGTGGGAGAGGAGTGCGACTTCTCGCGAGGAGCTTAGCACGCTCGCCCAATTTCAACGGCGGCAATCGGTCTGCTCTCGCACTAGGAAAAACGGGCTGAATCGCTTATCAGATTCGGGGGGGGGTGGTGGGGGTGGGGGGAAAAAAGGTTAATTCTTTAGGTAGTCTTAGATTAAGACGTGATCCTCCCGTACCTTGCGGCAAGTCTGACTGTCCGCTCTCCTGGTTTCCACGAGAGTATTGTCCAAATCGAAGAAGACGGCACTCAGGGACGCGCTGGATGAGAAGGACCGTGAATTACGTCGCTCGCGGAATGCAGCTTCCATCGCCATTCCCTATGACAGTGTAACGGCAGCGCCGATCGAGCGCACAAAGTGCCACAAAGAGCGCGGAAGATCGCGCTACCTCATTATCAATTAGCATATTGGTATCATGAACTGAAAAGTTACCTGATCGACCACGGCTCGCGCAATTGCGGTACAAATTAAGGTTGGGAGTGGCATGAAGTATGTCTTAAAAGCGAGCTTAAGGCAGCCATGTTTGTGTGTTGTACAAAAGAAAAAAAATATAACGATTCGTCTCCCTGTGACAGTCGGAAATTTCGATAAAAGGAATTTTAAAAAGCAATATAGGATACTGCTATGCTACAAATGCTAGAAGCAATTTTTGATTGGTCTATTTGTAAAATTAATTTTTTTAAGACCTGGTTGCATCAACGTTGTTTTGACCAGATATTATTAAAGACAACCCTTTTCAAATTTTCGACGGTATAAAAAGGACCCCAAGGGCCCGGAGTTGAAGAACGCTAACATTATCAACAATTATATTATATTATATTAATATAAATTTGCTATTATTAACATAAATATTTAACATTATTAAATTCATGATTTTTTATTACATAAATGTTCCATAAATAAATATGCATATTTGTAAAGCTGTAATATCCTATATATTGTAGAAAAATTATAATTTTTTTCTCTGCAGTTATCATCTCTGTTGATCTCAAATCAAACTTTGACGATAATACTGAAATCACAATTTTAAAGAAAAATCGAGAATTATTCTAAATGCATAAATACGTCTGTTAACTAATAAATCATAAAGTAAGTACAATATTATCAGTTTTAAACTCTGATGTCATGTTACAATCACAAGAGATCGACGCATAATGTGATCGATACGGCATACAGATATGCCAAAACATTGTACGTTGACATAGGACTACGACTCACGATTCGCGACTCGGTTACGACCATTATTGTACTGAGGCCATTATTGTACCCTAAAGCCCATATTAGACTACCGTTTCTGCAACCTGACTCTGACTGAAGTCAACTCTGGCTATTTTCCAGCTAAAACACAGAGACGTGACACTGGGTGCTTTCCAGCAAGAACACAGTCAGACACAGTGTAACACAATGAATTATTATATCCTTGTTGTTTGCCTACGTTAAAAAAGGACAAAACGATTCACTGTATTACTCAATGTCTGATTGTGTCCTTGCTGGAAAGCACCCACTGTGTTTCACTGTGTGAAGTACTTTGGAACGCAGTTTAGTTTTATAATGTAACACCAAAATACTTTGCAGTCTTCCATTCTATTTTTATATTTAACGTATCAATAATACATTTATGATTTTTATTTAGATTTAAGTTATAATTTTAGTTTATTTTACTCTTAAAAGTCCTCTACATAAAAGTCGTAGAAGGTTGTCGTAGAAGGAGTCTTAAGTCGTAAAAAACTGACCAATTCTAATCGAATATTCTCCTTATATTTAATTATGATTGATTGGTTTTCTACGACTTAAAACTCCACGATCGTTTATGACTTCTATGGCTATGTATGTCTACGACCCTTTAATTGTGTCGTTAATCGCGCACGAACTTCAAGCATTAATGTAGAAAGGTGGTCACTTCTCATTTGTAAAAATTTCCGAGGGAACGAATCAAAGTCCTTGGGTGTACGGTAGGTCACAGAAAGTTTGCAACACTTTTTTTCTGATGGGTTTCGGAATACAACTTACTTACCGAGCGATTGGTTCTTATTCGTGGAATGAATTCTACTCCACAAATAAGAACCAATCGCTTGGTGAGTAGGCTCATTCCGAAACCCATCGAAAAAAGAGTGTTGCTACCTTTTAGTACAGTATATGGATGTACAATCAGGATATACAAGCAGCGTCGGCACCTTTGATCTTTTTCAGACGAGTTTTCAGAGTCCACCATGTCTTTGGTGATCAAATACCGTATCAATAGTATTAGGAATCACCGCCTATACTTAACAAAAAAAAGAAGATAAAAAAATCTTAACTTTTCAAAACCTTTCACCAAATCGGTGATCAATCAGATACATCCACGCACAGTCACGTTGCTTCATAAAATTAATAGCTGTAATCAGATATTCAGGAGACATGGTGATGTAAATGTAGCGATATGTCATGGCGCGATTGCAGTAACGGAGAAACTGGGTTCTCTGCATTAATCGAGATTGGTGCCATCAAAAACATGGCCGCTAATAATGCGCAAGCAAATGTGCGGCTGAATAGAAAACGGAGTCTCTACTGTTTATCTTTATACTGTGCTTTTTTTTAGTCCATGACTGCACGTACAAAACTGTCCGAAGAATATCGAGTGAACCAACATCGAGAACCAATCAGAAATTGTGTCCGCTTTCGCTAAACTCTGATTATAGGATCTTTAGACGCTGCCATGTAACCGGCTGTTTTAGCGACAAAAATCATCACGTGATCAAATGGCCGTTTAATATTCGTCAATTTTGACCACGTGATTCTTTTTGTCGCTGAAACAGCGACCGGTTTGAGCAGCTCGTGAAAATTTACCTTTATACGTGACACTTTGGTGTGTTTTAGCGCAAAAGCACGTTCAAATTTGAAGTAACGACGTTAACCTCAAATAAGGTGTTTTTCGGCGCTTAATATCATCTGCGATCAATCGTAATGGAAGCGACCGCATCAACAGTGAGTATCAATGCGGATGAGGATTTGGATGATTTCACTCCGGCAAAATTGGTTAAAACATTAGAGGTAAGTCATGCTGTACGAATCTACCGACAGGATTATGTGTCGTCATGTTCGTACACGTTCAAACACGTCTGTCATATTTGTCTTATGCTTTGTTACTCGTCGCGCAGAAAAATGGCATCACAGCTGGAGATATTAAGAAGCTCCAAGATGCCGGTTATTACACCGTCGAGGCAGTGGCCTACGCGACCAGAAAGGATCTCTTGGCGATCAAGGGCATCAGTGAAGCTAAAGCAGATAAATTGCAGCTGGAGGCCTCCAAGATGGTTATGATGGGCTTTAAGAGCGCCACGGAGGTACATCAAACACGGGCGAATATCGTTTATATCACCACAGGTTCCAAGGAATTGGACAAGCTATTAGGTGGAGGAATAGAAACTGGCTCTATCACAGAGATCTTTGGAGAGTTCAGATCAGGAAAGTCTCAGCTGTGTCACACTCTCGCTGTGAACTGTCAGTTACCTATCAGCATGGGTGGCGCAGAGGGCAAGTGTCTTTATATAGATACAGAAAATACTTTTAGACCAGAAAGATTAATAGCAGTGGCAGAAAAGTACAAGATCAATGGACAGTCAGTTCTTGATAACGTCGCTTGTGCAAGAGCGTTCAACACTGATCACCAGACTAAGTTGTTGCTTCTAGCCAGTGCCATGATGACAGAGGCAAGATACGCCCTCTTGATAGTCGACAGTGCGACCGGTTTATATAGAACTGATTACACTGGCAGGGGTGAATTATCAGCTAGACAAGTCCATCTAGGAAGATTCCTTAGAATGCTGTTGCGACTGGCAGATGAACATGGAATAGCTGTGGTTATAACAAATCAGGTGGTTGCACAAGTCGACGGTGCCGCTAGTATGTTCGGTGGTGATCAGAAAAAACCGATTGGTGGTCACATTTTAGCACATTCAAGCACAACGAGATTGTACTTGCGTAAAGGCAGAGGGGAAACTAGGATATGCAAGATATATGATTCACCGTGTTTACCAGAGAGTGAGGCGACATTTGCCATAAATCCAGATGGCATAGGCGATGTAAAAGAATAAGTTTGAACTGAAAAGTTAAAATAAAAACGAATATAAATTATTACACAATGATTTGTTTTTAAGATAACTGACAAATGTATCTCAGCATTGGATATCAACTTATTTTTGTTAGGGTGAAGTTAAATAAAAGAACAAATGTTTCTCTCACGCGCGTTGGATAATGTTAATTCACGTATCTTAAAATAATTGAAGAGTTCAAGAAAAGACAATAAATTCTACGCAGTCGAAGTTAATTGTTAAGTTAGTTAAGGGATAGATCATATGTACAGTATACTTTTTAAATATTAGCCTAATATCTTTCTTACAAAACTTTATATAATATTATATTTCAAAGCTTTAATAAATGTAAGACAATAAATGCACTTTTCTTAAACGTGATGGTTCTCTTTTATTATATAATTTGTGCAAAAGGTTTTTTTGTTAAAAATATTTTATTAATTAAGCTTCTAAAGAATAAGTATGAATAGTATATTTTTCAAATTATTTTAATTTACAGTATATCTTGACTATTTGAATTCCAATTTAATTCTAGCGATTTTAAT